CTTCTCTTCCTGTCTCCTTTTGCTGTAGTAGCCTCACATCTCTGCATCCTGTAACCCAGCACGAGTGAGAGGCTTCTGGAAGCTCCCTGCGGACCTCCTGTGACCTCTCTGATTGGACCTGCTTCAGGGCACATGCCCATCCCTGAACCAATGGTTGTGGTGGGGGAGGGGATGCCATGCACTGATTGGCCAGGCCTGGAGCAGGTGCTACACCCAGACCACCAGAGCAGGGATGCCGGGGGACAGCACCTAAACCAGAATCCAGGCTTCTGTGCTGGGTGGGGAGGCCATGGGGGCTGGGAGGGCAGAGAGCAAGTGGCCACTATAGTCCTCTTCCCCTCCCACCCCCTGAGAGCTCACTTATACATTGTTTGACAACAAGGCAATCTGTCAAGTTCTCACCTGGGCTGGGTCCCTGAGGTCTCAGTGGGACAGGCAGGTCCAGCTGTGAAATTCCCACAGGGCTTTCGACCCATCCAGAACAATCCCTCTAGGATCTATGTAGCCCAGTGGCAAGGGGCGTGGGTCCTGGCGCCCCTGTGGCGACTGTGTGTTTGGATCCTGGCTACTGAGTGTGGGTTGGACCAGCGGCAGCAGCACGGCCAGGAGCTGTTAGAGATGCAGATGTCCCACCTTCAGCACCTGCGGTTCACTGGGACCCGCAGGTGAGCTCGTTCCTCTGCTCAGCGCGGTTTGAGAAACTCCGAGAGAGGGCAAGTTCCACCTCTCTATTCCTGGCTTTCTCCTCCTGTCTCATAGACACAAGGTCAGTACAGTTCATCTCTTAGGGTCCTTAGGACTAAACAACAGTCTGTTTGCTCACTCAGAGCGCTCAGTAAGTGTGCAGTGAGTGTTCGCACTTAGTGCCTTAGACCCGCAGCCCTCGGGTATCAGAACAGACCAGCGTTCTTCAAACTTTTCCATCAGACAGTCCCGCTAGATCAGGGGTTGGCAAACATTTCATGTAAAGGGCCAGACAGTAAACATTTTAGACTTTTGGGCCATATGGTCTCTGTGACAACTTGTCAGCTTTGCCGTCGTGGTGTAAAAGCAGCCATATGGGCATAGCTCTGTTCCAATAAAACTTTATTTACAAAACAGATTTGCGTTGTAGGCTCAAGTTTGTAGCAAAGTGATGATCTGGGGTCTAGCACACAGCAGTCGCAGCAACGAAATGTCTCAGAAGCCTCATCCTTCGTCTGGAAAGCTTAATTGGAATTCTGCGACTTAGTAATGTAGCTTGGTTTATTTTAATATAATGTTTTTTTCTTCCTTCCAGATCTCTACAGAAAACAGATGCTCTGGGGAGACGCTGTGTGTGTGTGTGTTCTCTGTCTGCACACGGCCCCCCCTACCCACGGCCACGAGAACTTTTGTAGACACGTGTCCCAACCCGATAGGAACTGGACCCCAAGGACGAGCTGGAGGCCTAAGGCCGGCAAGGAGTGAGGCTTCCTCTCCTGGGGAACAAAACAGAGCGGGAGGATTTGCTGTCAGGAGTCCGGGGAGGGAGGAGTTAGGAGCAATGACTCCTCCTATTTGCAAGCCTCTGTTATTTCATTGGCTTCCTATAAGGAGACAGGGCATGTGTCCATTTTACAGATGAGGAAAACTGAGGCTCAGAGAGGTCAGGTGACCCGGCCATTGACACTGCCTGTCAGTGGCAGAGTTCAGGGCTCCAGCCTGACAGGTGCCTTCCCTCTGCCCTGCCACACTTCATGTCACTAATCTGAGGCCGAGAATGTGGATGTGGCGGGCCGCCAAGACAGCCCTGGTTATTCACACTTCCTGCATCCACGCCCTTTGCCACGTGACTTCCCAGTGCCCACCTAGGGCAGGGGGAAGATTCTTGCAGAGCCAAGCTGTCCCAGCCTGACCCATACGAGGTCAGCCAACACCCAGCCGACCCCTAGGCATAGGGTGAGTCCAGCCCAGATCAGCAGGGCTGCCTGACTCAGCTGCCACTGCCCCCAGATGTGTGAGCAGTAACTGCCCACCACTGGATGCCACTAGGGGCTGGGGGTTGGTTGCTAGGTAGCAGTATCATGCTACAGCAGCTGGTGCAATGGCTGGAAGCCTTGTGCGACTGTCTGGGAGCAATAATTCTCCTCTCAGGGCCCTGTCTCTTTGGGCTCTTTGCCAGCTCTAGGGAAGAGTCCGTTCCCTCGCCTTTTGCAGCTGCTAGCGGCTGCCTGCGATCCTGGGGGTGCCCGCCCCATCTCCAAAGCCAGCCGCAGCATCTTCAAAGCTCTCCCTGAATCCGAGTCCCGGCTCTCGTTTTCATGCCTCCCTCCCTGACCCTCCTGTCTCCCTGGTGAGGACCCCCGTCGGTTACACTGTGCCCGGCCAGATCATGCAGGACGAGCACCCTGGACCCTGATGCAATCGTATCGGAAAGGCAAGGCGACGCGCTCACAGGTGCCGGGGAATTAGGATGTAGACACCTCTGGGGAGGCATTATTCCGTCTACTGTACACAGGCATTGATTCTTGGGCACAACAGTGGATCTCGTCCCTAAATCTCAGAAGTTCACACTGCTGTTGAACAAAGAAAACTGTGGCTTGCGTTTCACCATGCTGCTAACACGTAGTCGTTCTCACGATGCAATCACATTCCTGAAGTTTATAAAGATGCGGGGCTGGAGGAGGCCGCTGCTCAGCGTGCACGTGCGCCTCTCACATCACCGCGGAGCTCCTCCCTCCCTCCTTTTCGTTGCCGCCTCGGGCAGGGCCACGTCATTTCTGCCCCCAGAACACAGTGCCATCGGGCCCTGCCACGGCACGCGGCCTTCCGTGGAGGGCCTTTGCTCACTGTCCCTGCTAGGGTGACCGGGCGTCTTGGTGTTCCTGCACTGAACTACCCGTGTCTTGGAAAATCCCTCAGTTCAAGGTGAATCGGGGCAGTTTGTCGTGCTACCCTTGCCCCTGCCGTTGTGTTCTGGAAACACCAGCTGCCGGAGTTCTCTTCCAAAGTCACTGTGCCCTGGCTCGTGCTGCTCCTTGGGTTGGCGAGTGACCCCTTTTGTTGTTCCCTAGGGTGTTGATTAGGATGTGGTGAGCTGCAAGTAACCGAAAACCTACCTCAGTGGCTAAAACGAATGTAGATTTATCTTTTTCCCCTAGAAAGACATTCAGAGGAGGATGGTTGCTGGCGTGGGAGCTGTAGCTTAATGAGGTCTGAGCTGATGTCTCTGTGATTCTCTTGGCCACAAGATGGCTGCCTCAGCTCCAGGCATCGCATCCACATTCAAGGCAGGAAGAAGGGGAAGAGGGGGAAGAGGTGGGGCATCAGCTGTGTCAGACCCTACCTTAGCAGGAAACGTTTGCTTTTCCAGGGGATTTCTCCTTACGTTGTGGGGCAGCAGAGCATGGTGGACAAGAGCATGGGCTCTGAAGCCAGATTACTGGAGTCTGGATCCCAGCACCACCACCTTCTGCTTAAACCTCCTTGGGAAGTCACTAATCCTCTCTGGGCTCAGTTTTCTCACCTGTTAAATGGGGATGATGTTAATAACAGCCTACCTCATAGTGTTGTTTTGGGGGTTTGAGATAATAAATGTAAACCATATAGAACAGTGCCTGGCACATACTAAGTGTTCAATAAATGTTAGATATTATTTAATTTTTATACCTTATAGGCCAGAACTGAGTCCGATAGCTCCCTAACTGTAAGGGAGCTGGGGACAGCAGTGGTTAGCATATAACCTGCAATGTAGAGACGGGCACAAAGGAAGGTAGCTGTGAACAAAGCTTGGGTCAAGCAGACAGGGGTACTTTCTGGACTTGGTCACCTTCTAGTCAAATTGTAAGGCTCAACTTGGGCATCACCACCTCCAGGAAGCCATCCTGGATTCCTCCTGCCAACTAACAGTGGTTTAATTGTCCCATTCCTGTCGTCCTGGTCTACATTTCCATTTTTATATGTGTACCAGGGAACTCGATGGTCTGTTTGCAGGTCTGTCTCCCGCGGAGCCGGGATCTTGTCTGAACCACCTCCAGATTCCCAGCTCCGAGTGGTACTAGGCTACTTGTAGGCCCTGTTGCTTGCTGCGCAAATAAAGTCTTTCCTGAGCATCACCTTGGCAGCGTGGGGGAGTGGGAGTTACGTCAGATGACCCCGTCCAGGGCACAAAGTCTGATGGAGAGACAGGACAACACCTGGGCCAGTGAGAGGCGGCTGTGGCCAAGGGCTCCCCTGGGTGGGGCTCAGAGGCAGGGGGTGGGGCTCCTCCGTGGGCAGCACGTTCTCAGGGCGCCCCAGACCAGGGACCCCTGTGGTCTGGTTCAGGTTCCCCACCCGGAATGTGCCTCACTGGACACTGGGTCCCTCTTGTCCCTGGTCCCAAGTGCCCTCCGGTCAGCCTTAGGAGGACTGTCCCTTCCTGGAGCTCTCAGGGCTCACGCCTTGCCAGCTGTCCACACCTGTGCCCTGCCCCAACTCTCCTCTCTCCGGGCCCCTTTTCCCTCTTGTCCAGCTCTGACCCCTGTGACTCTATGTGGACACCATTGCTTTCCTCAAAGCTGTGCCCTCTGAGCGGGCGCTGGGGGCTCTTCCTGTACCCGCACCACGCCCAGCCTGGGGCCCCGCGTGGGTCAGGGCAGGGAGCCCAGGCCGCCTGCAGCCACAGGGCCCGTGCTGGGTCAGGGGACCTGCCAGGGAGCTCCTTCCTCAGGGAGCCTGTGCTTGTCCCTGAGCTCTGGGCATCCTCCTTGGCCTGGCCTCTCTGGGCTGGGGAGGCTGCCCTAGGAGACCCCATCCTCCACTGCAGCTGGGGGCTCCAGGACCCACCAGGCCCCTCTGTGGAGGCAGGATCAGAAAAGCGAGTGATCTGATCAGGGTCTCACGGCTTCCTGGGACCCCAGCCGCATTCATGCCCCCAGCAGCTCCTTGCAAGCCCAGCCGGCCTGGCTGAGGGGTCTCTCCGGATCCCTGGTGCAAAGGGGCAGCTCTCAGAGAGCCCGGGAACCAACAGGGGAGGCGCGAATCAAGAATCCAGGCGCTTGAGAGGGAAGGCGGTTTATTGCTGTTGCAGGGACTTGCTGCGGTGGCTCCCGAGGACAAATCACAGCTGCATTTTCTGAGGGGACAGAGAACAGTGTGAGCGGCTCTAGGGCGAGCCACCTCTGGGGGGCACGAGGCTCTGCGGGCGGGAGGGCGGGTCTGGGGGGCGCAGCCCGCAGCCTTGGCAAGCCAGCCTGTCTCCGTGCGGGGGTCTCCGCCCACGGTGCAAGGGGGGCTCAGAGCACAACCGGTCCCCAGTGGGAAGGCCACCAGCCCAGGTGCCCCTCTGTGTCCCCACCCTCAGGAGGACAAACGGCCATCCACACCAGGCCCTGTCCTCTGCTGGGCCCTGCTCTCCGGGGGCCACGTTTCAGTTTTCGGGGTTGCTGGTGTGGCGCCTGGGTGGGGACGTGAGTGTTTGCTGACCGGGGTGCACGGATGGGCGGAGGAGCTCGTGGCTGTTTCCTCCCCGCGCCCAAGTCCAGGCCCCTCGAATGACCGAGTGGATGCATGAGAGTGACTGTGAGTAAGTGCGCGAGCGGGTCACCGGGTGAGCACGTGAACGAGTGAACAGAGGCGTGAGCGAGTGAATGAATGAAGGAGCGAGGGGCAGGGCACGGGGAGGCGGGGCTGACAGCGCAGCGAGGGGCGCGGGGCGGCGCCCACCTGGTTGATCCAGTCGATGTAGACGGACACCCGCGTGAAGACCGTGGGCTTCTTGAGGGTGTTGCAGCCCAGCCCTGAGCCGAAGCTCACGATGCCGACCACCTCCCAGGAGCCGTTCTCAGCCTGGCGGTTCAGCGGGCCGCCCGAGTCCCCCTGCGCCAGGCCAGCGGGGCATCAGCCACCAGGCCTGCCCCAGAGGGACGGGAAGCAGGGGCGGGGCGGGGCGGGGGTGTGGGCTGGCTTCTCAGCCTCGGTAGCCCCTGTGTGGGCCTCGTTTGGCCAACAGAATGTGGTTTGGGGCTGCCTTGGCCTCCTTCTGGGAGGCCCTGGGGCGGTTGGACTAGCTCGTGGCTTGCTGTGTGATCTTGGGATGGTGCTAACCCTCTCTGTGCGTCAGTACCATGTCTAAGACCCCGTGAGCTGTCCAGAGAAGCGAGGATGCTGGGAGCCGTGTTGGAGGAGTGGGGAAGGAGGGTGCGAGTGGCGAGAGGGTCCTGTGTTTGCAAACGGGGACAGTCCCTGTTTCATGGTTCCGTGTCAGACTCCCTAAGTTCCCTGTCTCCCTAGACTGGTGGAGCTCGTGGCATGAAGGAACAGGGGTAGAGACGCCAGTGAAGCCTCTTCTATGTCCTTTAGACTCACTTAGTCCTCACAGCAACCCTGTGAAGTGGTTACTATAGCTCCATTTTATAGATGGGAAGACTGAGGCTCGGAGAGGTTCGACAGCCTTCCGAAGGTTAAAGAGCTAGTAAGAGGCGGGACTGGGACTTGAACTCAGATACTCACGTGCAGCTCTCACCACAGTGTGGGGGACAGGGTGGGGGTCAAGGTGACGGGTTCCCCATAAGCCTGCTGGGCCCAGCCAGGGCTGGGTCTCCTCCCAGGGAGCAGGGACAGGGTGTAGGGCCTGGCCACTCACGTTGCAGGCGGAGATGACGCCATCGCCCCCGGCGCACACCATGGTGTCCTTCACCATGGAGCCCCACCAGTCCCTCTGGGTGCACGTGGCGTGATCCACCACGGGCTGCAGGCCCTGCTGCAGCTCGTCGGAGATGGGGCCGTTGGCTGGGGAGAGGGACAGGGTGGTGAGCGGGGAGGCCCGCCCACCCTGTCAGCCCTGCCCCAGGCCGTCAGGACGGGAGCTGTGGGGACCACGCCGTGACACCATGCCGCCAGCCCTCCGCGGGTGGGGCGGGGAGCGGGCGGAGGCAGGGCTCACCCATGCGCAGCCCGCAAGGACTAACTGAGCAAGTTGTCTTTAGATTGGTAACCGCCCACCAACACTGCAGCGGGGCTCCAGGACCCACCAGGCCCCTCTGTGGAGCAGACAGAAAAGGATGATCGACAGGGTTCCACTCTTCCCGGGACCCCAGCCGCATCAGCCCCAGCAACTCCTGCAACCCAGCCGCCCTGGCGAGTCTCTCCGGATCACCTGCAAGGGCACCCAAGAGCCCTGGAACCCAACAGGGAGGCGCGAATCAAGAACGCCAGCCTTGAGAGGGAAGCGGTTATTGCTGTTGCAGGGACGCTGCAGTGCCCGAGACAAATCCACAGCTGCATTTCTGAGGGGACAGAAACAGTGGTAGGCTCTAGCGAGCCACCCTGGGGGGCACGAGCTCTTGCCCGGCGGAGGCGGCTGGGGGCGCAGACCCGCACCCTTGCAAGCCCAGCCGCCCGTGCGGGGCTCCAGCCAACGTGCAAGGGGCTCAAGCAACAACCCGTCCCCAGTGAAGGCCACCAGCCCAGGTGCCCCTCTGGTCCCCACCCTCAAGAAGGACAAACGGCCATCCACCACCAGGTCCGTCCTGCTGCCTGCTCTCCGGGCCCCACGTTCATTTTCGGGGCCGTGTGCCCTGGTGGGAGGAGTGTTTCTGACCGGGGCACGATGGGCGAGAGCTCGTGGCGTTCCTCCCTGCGCCAATCCAGGTGCCCGAATGACCGAGTTGAGCAGAGAGTGACGTGAAAAGCGCAGCGGTCCACCGGGGAGCACTAACGAAGTAACAGAGCTGGAACGATAAATGAAGGAGCGAGGGG